AAGAACAAAATCAAAATTTCAGGCAAAATTTTGCAATTAGCAGTAGTAGAAACTTTTGTCAGCACAAGCTTTGTTCAGTTCGAAAGATTATAGTGCAATAGCTAGAGAAAAATTAGACCTTATAGCATCTTTTAGGATTTATGAAGCTTAAACCGAAAAAATAGCACCTGGGCTGAATACCACCTGGGCTGTTTCTTTATCAGCAACTAGCTGGCTTACCCGGCTCCGCCGTATCCGGACCAAACTTGGCACACATACACTTCGGGCCCCGGCGGGTGTCACAGTCCACTTTTCGTTATCGATCGATGTCGATTTTACCGATTTTTATCGATTTTTTTGCAGAGTTCACCTATAGGGCTAGGAGTTGCCGCAGGGGGGAAGTGAGCATGGGGACTCCGAATACAATATTAGTTTTCAGAATTATCGATTACTTTTATTGGTTTTATCGATTTTTTGTAAATTTTGACCTGCGAGGCTGGGATTTTGCACAGGGGGTAATCGAGCATGCTGATTACGAACACAATATTAGTTTTCAGGATCGTCCATTACTTTTATCGATTTTATCAATTTTTTTGTAAAGTTTGACCTGCGAGGCTGGGAGTTTGCATAGGGGGTAATCGAGCATGCAGATTACGAATACAATATTAGTTTTCAAGATCGTCCATTACTTTTATCGATTTTATCGATTTTTTGAAAATTTGAGCTAGGGGGCTGGAATTTGGCACAGGGGTGTAATCGAGCATGCTGATCACCCCCCTTGGGGATGATCAGCATGCTCGATTACCCCCCTGTGCCAACTCCCAGCCCCCTAGCTCAAACTTTGCAAAAAAATCGATAAAATCGATAAAAGTAATCGATAATCCCGAAAACCAATATTGTATTCGGAATCCCCATGCTCGAATACCCCCCTATGCGAACTCCCAGCCCCGTAGCTCAAACTTTGCAAAAAAATCGATAAAATCGATAAAAGTAATCGATAATCCTGAAAACCAATATTGTATTCGGAATCTCCATGCTCGATTACCCCCCTGTGCGAACTCCCAGCCCCGTAGGTGAACTCAGCAAAAAAATCGATAAAAATCGATAAAATCGATATCGATCGATGACGAAAAGTAGCCTATGACACCCGCCGGGGCCCGTAGTGTATGTGTGCCAAGTTTGGTCCGGATCGGTTCAGAAATGGAATTTTCTATTCGGAACATACGTACAGACATACATACAGACATACATACAGACATACATACATACATACAAACAGACATTCAGCTTTATATATAAGATACCGCCGTCTTACGCCGGCATCCATTTTTCTCCTGAGGGCTAGCAAGAGCAAGATTTTGATTTTCCAATTTATTCTGAAAAAGAAAAGAATTCAATGAAACTAAAAGAAACTAGTGACGGTTTTTCAAATTTTATTTGTTGGTTGCTAGTGTGAGCACCATTCCAAAAGGTCAAACAATGTTGAAGCCATTTGTAGTGATTTCTTGGGGCACTTTTTCCGACTAAGAGCTTGCTTTTGCTAATTTCTACTTTTGCTGCTAAAATTAACGAAATTTCGCTTCGATGCATGTTTGCATAAAATAGGCGAAGGTGGCGCAATTGGCGTTTTAAATGCATTGTTTAAACGACGTCGCAGAACGTCTGATGTTGATAAACTATCTTTGTTCATTGTTTCAGTCATTTATGGCCCCTGCTGAGTGCACCGTCATTCCAGCATTTCTCAATAATTTAGCAATTATTGCGATAGGAACCATTTCTGCTATGCTTCTGCGGCGTGGAGCATTACGTCTCATCAATCACCACCACTTCCTTCAACACGCTAATGGAGTATCTAGGACAGCCATTCTACCTCCTGCCGATTTCAAATCGTTCTCTAATCCCTTTCCATGCTTTTTATTTGGGTATCTTGGCATTTATCACATTTTCGAAAAAGAGTGTCGGTCACAAGACTCAATATTTTGACTTTTCGCACATGTGACTCGCAAAGCTCTAAAGATCGAGACTAATTATACGGGAGCTGGTAAAATTATACTAGAGTTTGAACGTATGATTCATCCAAATAGTACAATTATTCCTCTGCCCACGAGAGAGGGTAAAAACAAAAATACAAAGGTCATTTTATATCAAACATGTGGTTATCATAGGTAGCTTTTGTGCTTCTCTATTCATTGTGATTACCTAATCTTTTAAAATGAATTCCACGAGGAGGAGAAAGCATCAATGATCTATATTGCGCAGGTAGATTTGCTTATATCGGGCGCGTTTTTACTTTGTGAGAGATTTTCTATTCTACAAAATAAATTCACATTTTATAAAGCTGTGTTCCAAGCGACTTTCGTTCTCAAAACAAAGTACAGTTCTCATCAGAGAGTAATCAAGAGATTTGTATTTTTTCTTCACCTTTTGCATGTCTTTCCACTTTGACATGTACGAATTCCTCTGAGTTACTTTTATTCGGACATAAGCTAAACAAAAATACCAATGAAGTTCTTTTTCTAGAGCATCAATTTACAAGTGCTGAAAACAACATACGCTAAGAAACAATCGGGAAAAGAGATATGATGAAAACAAAGTTTGAGCTTTTGAATTTTCGGCTTTGGTAGATAACAATCAGAAGTTTTCTGTTCATATTTTCTTAAACTTGAGCACCTCCATGTGTCGTGTGTGTTACCAAATGGGCTGACATGGTGATATATTGTCCCAACAAAGAAAGAAATTGTAAGAATTTCGGGTAGATGAATTTCCATCTCAATCCGGTTAAACAGAAATTCAACAGCAATTCCTACTTTTCGTTGTATGTCTTTTCCCGATCTTGTTTCTTAGTGTATTGTTGTTATGACCACTTGAAATTTGATAGTCTAGAGACAGGATTTCAATAGTATTTTTTCCTTACATTTTATAAAAATGACTCGGAGGGGTTTCAGACATTGTCGAAATGGAAAAAAGATGAAAAATAAGATTTCTAATCCCTTGTCGATCACTTTTTAGGTGAAGGATGTACTACATTCTGTGAACGAAGGTCTTTTGGAGCATGGCTTCATAGCTTCGAAAGTAACATTCTGACCAACGTATGAAACTTTGCATTCGCTCTTAAAATACACCTATATTTCTCCTCTTTAAGGAATACATAGATATTATATAGATATACTAGGCAATGAACAGAGAGGCACAAAAGCGCACATCCTGATGTGAACCGCTGTGGGAGTTGGCCCGAAAACACGCTGATCAGACCAGCTTCGAACATTTTTGGGGACTTCCAAAGCCTAGAGCACATTTTATGCTTTAGGGCCATAATTTCGTTGACGCTTGCGAAAACCTGGAGAATTGCAGAATCAGCCGCATTTGTATTTTTCCTGCTATAGAAAAGCTGCAGTCAGCGAAACTAAACAAACACTTTATAGAAAGGCCCGTTTTTCTCTATGTGTTTGGACAGTCGAGGTTAACTAAACGTTCGCTTGCTCTCTTTTTGAAACTATGACGTCCTTGTAATCATGCCTTTTTTATACACAAAAGTTCGGCTAAATTCTAAGAAACTCTCGAAAATTCTTTCCTCACCTATGCTTACCTCCTCTCACGTGGGCTGTTCGTTGTTTTGTTGTCGTGCTTTGAAGCGTTTATGCGTGGAACTTTCGACTGGCTTGTTTATCGACAAGCGCCTGTCTACGAATCGCAAAACTAGCTGCTACTTCCCGATTTTGTCTGATAAACGATTTTTGTGTGAAAAACTTTCCCTAAAAGTCGGTACGAGCTGGCAAAAGGGTAAAATCCCCTTGATTCTGAAGATTTCGTGCGAAGTCTTCTCTGATACTAAACCGTAAACGTAAAAAACCCTCAAAAATCGAAACGTCGCAAAAAAAACCGCACTTTTGGGTCTTTTCTGACACGAAAACGATATCCCGTTTGCTTTTTGTCCAAGATATCCAGCTTGATCCGTGCCAGTTGTTGCCAGGCCCTGTTTCTCTATCATCAGATCGTTCTTCCTCTGCATAAAAATAATAATTCCATACAGCTTTGAATGCTTGAAATTTTCTGTAAACTCAAATTGCTCTCGTTCTTAGCAGCTCTCCATTGTTCTAGACTTCTTTATATCCCTAGGTCAAGCGCTAAATGCAGGCTATTTGCCAAGAATGAAAACACTGTTGTTATCCCCGCCGACTTATTGGATTAGCGCCGCTTCCAATTTCTGCCCAGTGACTTTTTCCTGACTTTCTTCATTGTAGAAATGCTCATTAGAAGTGTTCGTTGAAATGAATTCACTCCAAGAACATTCGCCTCAGGATTATGTAGCTTTGCTCCAGGTCCATGTTCTCTAAGAATTTTCATGGTTTTGTATTGGGTTTTTGGCTTTTTTCGTTTTTTTTCCTCAAGAAAATATTCAATCAACGGCGCAGGCGGTGTTCAAGTAAAAATCATTTATTCTCTAACACTGACGTATTCGAATCAATCTCTGCTGCATTTGAATTATGGCCAGCGTTTCCAATCCATCCACCAGCCAGTCAGAAATCTTTTGTTATGTCTTCGAGAATTTTGCAATTCTTTTGGGAAGCTTGTGTTAACCTAGAATGATGTATATTGCGTTATAATTTAGAGGTTCAAATGAAATCCGTTATGTTACTGCAAATTTGAGCGTAATTTTAGCCAAGGGCCTGTAACTCTCAAAAGTCTATTGTTTTTTAAAGGAAGCTCTCCCATGCAGAACTGCTGTTACAACATCACTGAAATTTTTAGGAAAATCTGGAAAGAATAACTGTAGTATTTTTTAGAATTGTATTGTGTCTATTCTATTCTTCCTATGTTGGATAGGAAAAAATTCCGTAAATTAGTGAAATTAATTGGTAATATCTTTGACGCCTGTAGCTTGAGGGCTCAGCCCCTAGGAAAGGGAAAAAAGTGCACTGCATCGCGTGTGAATCCGCACTTTTTGGCTGTTGCTCGTGGATATTGGTGTCAGCCCTTAAATCAAGAACCAGAATATGATCTTTTCAGGATACGTCAGCACACGAAATGACAGACACTTCGAGTGAGCCGAAAATGGTTCCATCGTCATCTCAGCCAACTAAGGAACAATATGCTAGGCGTCCCTCAGGACCCAATGACATAAAGCGGTTCAGGTGAATTATTTGTGCAGAAACGTTTTGGCACATTCCTTTGTTATAGTCATCCTATTATTATATGATACTGAAATGGTATTATAGGTGAATTTTTGAGAAACACCCCCCCCCTTTTTCAAAACTCTCTAGACATCTTTTTTGAGGTTACTACTACTTTATTTCACAGACTTGACCTACCTCAAACTAATCTAACTGCACTTTTTATTAGCACTTTATGAAATTCTGGTCCCACTTTTGTTAGGTCGAAATATCACAGATGATTACGTAATGTGCCGGGCAGTGTAACACTTGCTTAGCCTTAATGCAGAGATTTTTTGATTTATAAAGGCTACTATGGTCATTTTCTGGAATATCAACGCTATTTCAAGGAATTCACGGAAAAAACTAGTGAGAGACCCCTTTTTCAAAAACTACAAAATCTCTTTGCTTGCTTCCAAAGTCTACGAACTGTAAAAGAGCCAATTACGTTAATTGACTGTTCTATTAGGTTAAATCGAAAATTCTGTCGCTTTGATTCTGAAAAATTCATAACTGCTCCCTATGTTAGCTCTCTATGTTATGTATTTGCTCCAAAAACCAATAACATATTCGCGACAAGGGATTCCAAATTTTTGGATAACACACAAACTCTCGATTTTTGAAAAAATCTGGAGCGCTGCGGGTAGAAGTTATAGTTTCCGCGAAAAATACAGGAAAATACGAAAAAATTCTTTTTTGCCGTTTTGCATTCCTCTAATCATAACTTTTTATAGAAATACTCAATCAGCTTAAACTTAAACACCATCAGGGAGAACAGTTCACAAAGGCTGTAACAAACATGCTTTCATGTTCTTCTGCAGCGTTTCAGATTTTTGACAATTTATTTCCAAAGGAGAGTTGGAAGAATTGTCCTATTCGTTTTTCCTTCGTCGTCAGTAAGCGCAAAGACGTTATTGGAAAGTAGATAATTTTTCTTTTCGATGGAATTTTTCGTAAGCAAATCAATAGGCAGCACTTAGGAATTTTCAAAATCAAAGCGACAGATTTTTCAGTTCAACTCAATATATTGGTTCAAGTCAATGATTCTCCCTCATCTTTCCAAACGATCCTAATTCCAACTTTTCATAGTGCCTTCTTCTGCCTTGAAAGATTGAAAAACGGAAAAAAGTCTCGTTGGCTGTCAAAGGAAAGAACATACATATCTTCTTTGGTTAAATAGATAGCGGTATTTCTTGTCTACATTCCATCTCCAAAATCCTCGAGTTTTCATTGAATAAGTGAACATTGACTCCGCTTTCCCCCATCTCTAAGCAGTAATTTCTTGAGACTATTTCCGATTATTAAGTTCGGTATTTGAGTTCTTCATACATACTTTGGCTCTGTACGTGGTACTTTAGAACAATGCTCTTATATAATTCAGAGTGTTGTCTTTGCCTGGTCCTTTAAGAACAATTTGCTTCTTATTTCATACTCTTTCGTCTAGCTTCTCTCTAGATACTTACAAGGGAATGGTCAGAAGTCGAAGTGGCCAAACCAAACAAGCTGTATACCATTCGATGCAGTATAAAACGCTGACTTCGAATCTGTCTTTCTTATCTGCTTCCCGCTTCTGTGGACGAAGCTACAAGCCATTAAAGACCATTATTTTGCTAAGAAATTAAGCGTGAAATTGAGATTTTAGCCGTGCAGAGCCACGTTCGCCTTAATGCTGGGCCAAAACATGCAGCTAGCCTACTTCAAATTTTTAAAGAAAGAATCTGAGCTAAAAGTGCAACAGTGTGCTCAATTTCGCTGTTTTTATGTGTGATTTTTTCACTCTAAAACCGCTTGTAACTTCGTCCACAGAAGCGGGAAGCAGATAAGAAAGACAGATTCGAAGTCAGCGTTTTATACTGCATCGAATGGTATACAGCTTGTTTGATTTGGCCACTTCGACTTCTGACCATTCCCTTGTTAGTCCTTTGGTAATTCTACTTTGAAATACCAACATATCAGAGAGACCGTACATCAATAGCTGAGATTGACCACTATAATACTTTCGACTGCTCTAGCATAGATTACTACAAATGAAAGATGAGTTATTCTTACCTATGAAGAGGTTTAGAGATAATATAGAACAAGTTTGATATGTGATGCATCCGTCTAGGAATAAAGACGTTCACGTATAACTGGCGCCATCAATAATTTTTAGCCACAGTATGCCTTTGCTAATATGTAACCCTGTTCAGAGTGAATCGTAAAGAGGACATGGATCTAGCCTTCGAAGAGTCCAGACAAGAGGTCATAACGGAAGAAGGGTTCGTGTTTACGAATATTGAGCAAGCAACAGGTTATGCTTTATGTTTCAGCGATGACGAGGAAGAGTACAAATGTAAAAATAGCGACGAACACGAGGTGCATAACTCAAGCCGTATGTTCGCTTGTAACCCTACCTTTTCGCTTTACATCTATAATTTTATTCCAGACCCGAAAAGTGACGTCTTCATCGTAATTGATCGCCCAGAAACCACGACGGTGTCGAGTGGGAATTGATGGTTTTGACCCATTTCTTTCGCTGAATTCTTTTCACATTTTTGAAATATGCATAACGTTATGTGTCACTTTCTGTCGATGCTTTAAATATTGATGGAAGTTCGCCGCACTAAACACAAAAATAACAAATTGGGAACTATTTGTAAACAAGCGAATGTCAACGATTGCGCATGAATGCCTCAGCGATTTGGTAGCAAAACAATATTATGACAGCTCAAGGGACTTTGCATTTGAGTTAAAAAATGTGAGAAAATCATTGGACGCAAAGTTTTTAAGAATGCGGACTTTCCCGTCCGCGATCCTCAAGAGGCTACAAAGCCGATTATAGCCCGAGCTGGAAGGCGAACTCGTAAAATAGTACAGCAATTAGTTCTGCTTCAACCTACTGCAACGTCGGTCACCATAGCTGCTACTGATTCAAATCATTATTGCTCCTGCTTCAATTTGTAAACATGGAGGTATGAGCATATGAAGTTTAGTTATCGCATGCCGCAACCTATTTAATATTTTTTCTCGTCTTCTGACTGGACCCATTTCTGCAACTACTAGGTTCTCTGATATATGATTTTGTTTAACATGCAGATTCGAAGCTCTATAAAAATCCAGGTCTTTGCTAAAAAATTAAACGTTTTGGTGGGAAGGTAGCTTTGAAATTAGCTTAAAATGTATCACTAACAAAAGCGGTTACGAACTCTTATGCATCCAGACTTCCAAATAATCACCATTTTGGCTTCTGAGTTCCGTAAAAGCTGCTGTGAGCGCATGGAAGAGTATGTAATTTGATGTAAACACACTCACCCTTTGGCTACATGGCGAACCACAATGAAGGTTGTGAACTGCTCTTTATGAACTCCTGCAGCCATGTGAGAATATGCAGGAGCTTGTGTACGTAGGTCAATTTTCAGGCAATTTATCGCTTGCATGTATCTATGACAATGCGAATGATATAAAATATTGAAATTATAATAAATGCAAGAGAATCATGTGTGCAAAAGTGTCCATCTCGATCTCTGTTTTCTGAAGCATGTTTTGAAAAAATTGATCAAGGAATTCGCCTTTCCTTTTTCTACATTTCGTTGTTAAAATAATAACTGTCGCTCATGCAAAGTTTATCGATTCTCCTTGATTCACCTTTTTCATTGATGCAGCACATCAATACATAAGCTAACCGCAGCATATGCGACTAAAATTATTTTTTTAGCAAACCTAATAGTTTCGTGTGTCATACTATGCTGCTCTTTCCTTCTATTGTTGGTGTCTCATTTCGCTAAACAAACAATGGCAGAGATGTTAGGTATACGTATGGTGGTCGAAACCATAACAACCTTGAGAAATGTATCCTACATCGTAGGAGCATAACATAGCCGTATTTTTACCAGGTAGATATCAAACTCTTAAGAAGTTTTTTCTAGCTCAGTAAGTGACATCGTAGACTCACAATAAGGCAGAAAGAAACTAGCACTCCAAAAGCATTTTTACCTCGAATGAGGCCATTGGATGTAAAAAGGTTTGACAGGTAGTTCACTACGCTTTTCAAAACGTAACACTCTCTTTGCTTAAGGTTTGACTAACACTTGACATAGCAAAAGGAGTAGGATCTCCTCTAATTCTTTTAAAAATGAGACAATCGAATCGAAAGAGAATCGGCAGCTAAGAACAGATGAGGCATTAGTAGGTGGTAGCCTCCATATACTCTCCTAGCATGCAACTACATTGTTAGGCTGTCAAAAAATTGGCAACTTGCATACATACAGAAGGTCACAAGTATATTTTCTGAACAGTACACATACTTCATAATTCTACATATCGTTGATAAGAAAACTAGCAATTGCTACTAATCTCAGGTTGAACTGATTCATTTATCAGATTCCCATGGGCATAAATAGAGTTTTTATTTTGCCGAAAAGCCTGGGGTGAAGTGTAGTAGGCAGTGATCAACATAATAATCAATTTTTTTGCAAGTTTATTGACTATTTTTATAAACTGCGGCCATGAAGGCATGAGACGAAAACAGCTGTCGAATGCACGAGAAAACCGCTTGAAAAGAACTAAACTGAAGAAAAACAAAAGACTTTCAGAAATACGGTCTTTGCTAGTTTTCTCATTTGAATCATAAGGTGGGATTTTGCGACGTTGTCATCGTGAAAGTAGAGGCCAAGAGCTTCAATATGATTTACAGGCTACAGTTAAGCTCAGAAAAATAAAAAGGGACAGCGCCGAATGCCCTATGCCCGCGTTGCGCAACGCGACGGAGACGCAGATGAACAGAGGAGAAAGACCAGAGCCGAAGGGGCATTAGGCTCTGGCCATCGATCTCCGCAGGGTCTTAACGAAACCCTACAACTTTGCATACCATTCTGATCGTCATGACACGACTAGAAGCGCTGAAAAAGTCACAACACTTGAAAATCAGGTTTTAACGAGATGAAGGAACATTTCGCGCGACTCTCTGCGCAAAAAATAAGTGCAGTTCCTTGTTTTTATTAAACTCCAATAGCTCGCGTGTGTTTTTGAAACTCAATCGAAAAGAGGTCAGTTGAGAAATGTTGTCTTGAACTCTATGGAAATTCATGCAAAACTTCGTTATTATTTCAAAGAAGGCTATACAAATGCAGTTTTCGATTTTGCTGGAATATTTTCGAGATATTATTCACTACACTTACTTCATGCACATTCATTCAATATAGTTAAGATCTTAACATTCGGTGCGTCATCCCGGATGATGCTGTTCCAGAGTAAACTTTGATTCAATTGGCTTGGCGACTGGAAGGCGGAGCTTTGGCCGCTCGCGCCGGCGACACAGACTGCGTCTGTCTCACGCGCGTGCTCTCTAATCATTATCTAACCTTAATTAGATCACGCAGCCCCGCCTTTCAGCCGTAATTAAGAGAGCTTGGCGAATCGCTTACACCGTAGATCTGTGCTAAAGTCAATTTTACAACAATGCAAGCAGTAGCAGAAGATGTTCTGGGAAGGGGGATTTGACGAACAAGCGGTGTTCATACTTTTGAGACACACTGCATATTGAAAAACCAACCGTTGTGTGGCATGGTCTTTCGAGGAGGAATGAGAGCGGCGTTGAGAGAAAGTGGAAAAGCGGTGTGGTATTCTTAAAAATTTTTCTTATCTTTCATAATATGATATATTAGAGCGATAACGTGCTGATTGAAAGCTCATGCAGGTGACCAATGCGCAGATCAGCTAGAATAAAGCTATGTATTATTGCTAACATTCCACGTACCATTCTGAGAATTTCTGGAATTTCTAAAAGCTGCCCTAAAGTTGATGTTTTTGACGCGCGCTCAGATGATTCACAATGTTTCCAATTCATTGCCCCCCCCCCAGAACGAGTGTAGAAATAATTGAAAGTTACTTACATGGCTTACAAAAATGTGCGAGTGACTTGCTTTTACTTGTGAATAATCAACGAATTTTTTGAATTTTTAAAAATTCGGATGCTTAGTGTGGGCCCACTAGAATTCTGGGCGAAAATCCTGGGACCCGCACTGGTAGGTACTAGACGAAAGGCAGAATCAATGTCAACTCCTTGAGACGTATTACTAACAGGGGAAGGATGCTTACTTAGATTCGCCTTCTGAGATGAGATACATGTACTTGAAATCAGCTTTGAAGCTGATTCCAAATTTGTTGTTCCTAACTGCTTAACGTTATACCGGAGCGAGTTATGGACCTGCCGTTGTGAATTAACAAACTTCTAAATGTCGTAAGACGGCCTATAGATATGAATCTGTTCGAGAAAAATGCTAGGATGTTAAACTAGCATCAGATCAGTTCTTTCGATCTTGAAAGGGAGCATTATACATGTGCAAAACCATGTAGACGTCGACACCGTGGCATCCGTAGCTCGAGGAGTACGCAAAATTTGCATAGAAAAGAGACAATAACTCGCTTCAGGATAAGGTCAAGCAGCTAGAACCAGCATATTTGGAATCAGCGTTCCAAGCTGATTCCAAATATATGTGTCCCATCTCAGTAGGCGAACTAAATTAGTATCCTTCCCTTGTAAGATATGTTTTCTACATTTGTTAGTGCGATTTAGTGCACTCAAATGGTGGGCAGTAAGAGAAAGATTTGTCTGACTACGTGACTGTGGCACGTAATAAAGCTCGGCCAATTCAGGTGAAATGCGGGCCTAAGATAAAGTAGGTTTCAACCTTTGCGCGTTTGGTAGATAGGTAAAACAGTGAGTTGAACGAGAGCTTATTCGATACGGTGGTGTTGGCAAAGTTTTTGTTAGGTAAAAATGCTAATTTTTCATCACCGAAAAAAATCGAGGATATTAGCGGCCAACGTTTTTGAACGAAAAGCAGAAGGTAAGATAAACAAGGTTGTAACATTTCACACAGATTCCATAAAAAAATTTTGATTATCGAAAAGCAAATAAAAAAATGTAATTTCAAACAGCGATTTGAAATACGCAGCAACACACTCTGGAAAAAGGATACAAGCTATTTTCTACTTTTTTTACCTAGTTTTTTTTGTGCAGCTGAACAGTATAAGTGGTAAGAGATCAAGTGAGATCATTCCGAGTGCTTTTCTTTCCCTGAAAGTTTTCATGTGAGCGTCCCTTTGTGTATGCGAATAAAAATATTGCATAGGTTGAATTTTCTTGGAGTGTAGCATACAAATGGGGCGAACCCATCAAGGCTAGGAAAGATTTTTCCACCTTATGCCCATTTCTTCGTTAGGCTGTTCGGAAAACGACGTCGCTACATCTGCTATGCCGCAACAATGTTGCGGTAACATTGTGGCAGGGTGAGCACAAGAAAGTGAACGGAGCACTACTCGATAGAGCAAAGCAAGCTCAAGATGAACTCGAATTGTTCGCAACAGGCTTGATTTACGTGAAGTTTGAAGCCAAATTTCAAAAGAACTTAGTGCCTGAAAATCGAAAAAGTATTCCCGTCAAAAAAATACCAGAGACCTCCGACTCAGTCACGCATACACTCTTTACATCAATCACTTTATGTCCAGTCTCGTGGTATTTCTATGGCGGAGCCGAGGAAACAAAATCCGGCATGTTTCTGTTATGTAATACTGCTATGTTTGCTTTTTTATGTTCTCTCAGGTAGGCCATTCTAAGTGTAACTTTGGGAGTATATTCATGAATTTCCAGCTTTCTAGAAGCGATAATTCGCGAGGAATTCAGCACAAAAAACGCGATGTGATACGACATGTTCCGAACAATCTAATAAATCAGGTGCACGTGATCCACCAAAACATGCAGTCACTCTGTAGTTTGGGCAATGGACGTCTTGTGTTGGTGGTGACTAGCTCAGAACAATATGTACGACAACTCCGAAAAATCCAGTACTTAAAGTTGTTGATGCTATTGATATGATCATGGGGCAAGCAAAGTTGCAAAAAAAGGATATCCGGATGATAAGCTTTGAAGCATGAACAAGTTCTTTGAGCAGAGAGGGAGCAACGTGAGAAAACGGATTTTAGGCCTACATAGAATTAACAAAAGTCATCTTAAACCCTTCAGAAGTTTGATACAAAGCTAAGCAGTACGATTTATTTACAGGAGCTAAAACAGCGACTAAGTAGGACTTCTGTATGCACCTCCGATGTGGATATAGATCGAATTGTGAAGGAGAGCAAAACCACGACAATTACAGAAACACGAGAAACAATTCATTTTCGGCCACGAGAGGTAAGTATTATGTATCGTGCGATAGCAATGATAAATCCTGGTTGTAGAGTACCGACAAGGAAGATGTTTGTTCATCTTCAGTAGAGATCCCAGTGCGAAAGCGGCTTTCCATACTTGATTCCACTTTTGATGAGAGGAGGTCTATTCTTCTTATACGCTTTGTGCTCTTACATACTGAATATTTCAGGGCTAGACAAACTTCCCCAAATACGTCGACCTATCGAAAGTAAAAAATTCCTTTTTTTACTTAATCAATAGAGTCGCATCATTTAGATCCAGTGCAACTCGCTCTGGTGCCAAAACACCGCCTTCAGTGATGATACGGACAAAGCCTTCTGCGAGTCGAGATGTAAGGGTGATTGTGTAGTAAATTTGGACTTAGTATTCCCAAATGCAGGACAATGACGACTTAGCAGCGGATTACGCAAATTTGGAGAAGGAGCTTCAGGATATTAACGAAAGAAACAAAGAGCTTAAGAAGAGGTTCTTTGAAGAAAAGGTTAGGTGGTTGTTATTTATATGTTGTCCTTGCAGAAGTAAATGTAGTAAATGTTCCTGAAGATAAGTTGCAAGCTACCTAAAAATGAGAGTCGGAATGTTTCAAAGCATAGCATAGCAACCCTTTGAGCATGATCAACTGTGATAAACAGTTTGTAACTTTGATAACTGATTACACACAGTGGCAATTCGAACAAGGAAGATGTTGTAGGCATGGTGCAACAAATTTTGCATCAATACCATACTTGCTTACTCTCACTTTGAACGTAACACTAGGGCAGGAGAGGAGAGAGTTCACGTAGTGGAAAACTTTGATCATTTCCCCATCTTGATTCCGCTTAATTACTGCCTTTCAATTTCGTCAATTGGACGAAAAATATCAGTTTTACCTTAGATTGCCAGTCTCAGATCTACACTTCAAAATAGATCCCTCCAACATATGAATTAACAGGGTATTCTATGGACTCTGTACTGTTTTCCATTATCTTTCTTTTACTGTAGTCTTTCTCCAAATGATGCAGTGAGCACAGGTTACAAATTAATGATTCCTTCACAGCATTGCATTTGTGCTTATCTAACTCTATAACATATTTTTCAAAAGCGTAAATCGCCTTTGCAGGTGGTTCAATTTCCGGTTTTTTCTAACTGCAATAATCCGAGTATGAGAGGGCATACGAACTTTTGCCCTCGTACGATTTGAGTAGTACAGTTAATTAAAATCTCCGCTCAGTATAGTGTGCTTGTACAGTATGTAAACTGCAGTAAAATTTGCGCGTGAATAAATACCTACGCCTGTGACGCCGGCCAAGTGCGCGCGCGATATGCCGGCTTTACTGGCGTGGCTATCTGTTCAGGCGCAAATCTTACCTCATTCCACCTGCAGTGCAAGCACACTATATCAAGCGGAAAATCTACTCAACTATGTATTCACGATGTTTTTTTACCTGATAGCAATTTGTTTCAAGAGAGAGCAGATTTTTCTCAAATTTTTGAGAAGAGCACAAAGCACCCACATCCCTACTGAAGTGAGAATCTTTTGGGGGGAATGAGAAACGAACACTTTGGGCAATTATAAACGCTATAGATTCCACACAGTGTTATAATGCATCAGCGCTTGCTGCTAAATGATGATTCGAGTGCATCGAGGATTGGAGGTCATACTTCACGGCGTACGTCATCAACGCAGCATATCCCGCGTACGCACCGCACGCTGCAACGTCTGCACATTCAGTGACATGAGTTATTTTGTGCGTGGTACTGAAAGGAATCGTGTTATAATGATATAAAGTGTGCCGGTGCAAGCGTTGGCAAGTGCCCAACGTACGCAGCCTACGCTAGGAAGCCTGGCGACCCTATTCCTTGACTGACTTGCTGCAATCTTTTTTATTTGCTAAAGAATCAAAAGCCTCTCGCATTTACAAATTATCTCTGGTAAATCGAATAAAATACATGAATTAGAAGTTCTATTGCAAGTGCAGACGGAAACACCAATTATGGGTCGTTCGTCGCCACTGCCATCGATGTCTTCCCGAATTCAAGAATGGGACTCAATGAGGTTCGTTTGATCTCTTACACAAGCTAAAATAATATTTTCCATGCGTTACAGTATCAGAGCTCGTGAGAGGAGGAAGTGCACGTTCGCAGGGCCCAAGCAAGAAGTCATGCCCGAGGTAGGTAAACTAATAGAACTTCTAGAGAGTGAATTAGTTGTAACAGCAAAATCTAGGAAGGTTTGTATCACCATAATCTTTGAAGCTCGTTTCAGCATAATTTTGGTGGGATAATGCTTGGAGCTGGCAGATTTTTAACTTAGACAACTTACTTACTTGACATTTTCCAACTTTTTTGATCCCTTGATGATTCCTGGCTGCCGACCGTTTTTTTTCAAGTTATTTTTCTTTCTTCAGAGTTAATGAAAACGTGCCAAAGTTCCCCTGATTATCTAATCAAACAGTGCTAAGCATGTTTCCGATAAGAACGAATGATGTGTTGGAATCATGAAATTTGCGATGTCGAAAGTTGGGGTTTATCGAAAAAGTCAATATTACAAAAACGCATTTGTTCTTATCAGCAATATGCTGAGCACTGTTGGGTTAGACAATCAGTACAATTTTGAAAGGTTTTATTAACTTCGAAGAAAAAGTTGGCTTTGCAGAAAAGACTGTCGGGCGCCGGGGATCATCAGAGGATCATACAAAAAGCTGGATGCGGCTTGTGCAGCTTCTTGCTCCCGTTCAAGATGTTCATAGTGAAGGATGGTGGGAGTCCTTACGAATAGTTAGACAACGTGGAATCCAGATATCTGGAGCTTCAGGATAAGAAGCTTTCTTCTGAAGCTGTGATCCCCCCCCCGGGGGGATGTTAATGCACGCGGCTTTGAGTTCCAAAGCCCACAATTTTTGGGTTGGCTGTTTCGTGAATACAGCATGAGTAGGCTAAACCACTGCAGCTCGGTCGGAATACTGGTGTTGTATTTTGCCCGTTAGCTACTCAGCGCTATGCCTAACCCACCGGGATCGCTTACCCAATAGTTTCTTGAATACCGAATACCCACAGGTTTCGAGAATACGGCCTCAGCTCTATCGATCTTTCCTGTCCAGCCCCAAAATTGTGCAGATTTACCCATTTGCCGTACGTAAAATTACGTTAACTTATGTATCACGTTAGCTGTTCATGATCATCTTAGGGTTTGTCTGATTTTGTCTTTTGCACAACATCTTCGTCATTTCTGTATACGACCTACCTTCTTCTTGATAGCGCGGTAAACTGATTGCGGGATTTGGCCGAACGGTAATCTGGCGAAGCGAACTTGCCTTCTTAAACGTAAGGTGGTCGCAGTAGCCTGAAAACTAACATCCAGTGCAGAGTGTATCATAGCAAGATGTCTGTCTCATGAAAGTAGACTACGCCATGCACTGTCAAAGATCAACTTGTGAGTTGTCAGTCGAAGAGGTGCAGGAATCTGCTTGCACATGACATAAATAATGGTGCACACACGGATATCATAAATTATAGTCGTTAATACCTATCATCAAAGACACGAAGATTTTCCTTGATTAGAAACTCGGAAAGCAACATCACCTCTCTTCAACTACATCACGTTTATGATAAAAACATAGTTCAACTTGTCGGCATCATCAGTCGCAATTGGCAAAGACTCAGATGGTAGATCTCAGATTGTGGACTGCTATCTGATACGCGAACCGTGAGCGAGCCTGGAGGGACTTCATATGGACTTCTGTTAACCGCTTCTTTCTCCTTTTGCTGCTATGCAGTTAGATCGCAATATATGTATCTTGAGTGTGGCAAGCTGCTGAGCTAGATCAATGTTGTTTGAACTACTTTTCTGAAGTGTTAGTAGATTAGGCATTTTAAGAAACCTTCAATGAATAAATCTCAATGTAAAAATCCGACCGTCTCACATAGCGGTGAAGTTTCTCATGCAATATCTCCTCTTTGGTTTTTGCAAATAATCACTGTTACCTCTTTAGCCTTCCAAGGAACAACACAAGACTTCTTCTTCTTCTACCGGCAAACAGAATGGCAGCTCTCACAACATTGTCAAATAAGGCAAAAGAGATAGGACGCTGTCGTTTTTTTCCACAATAATGTAACTGTATCAATATCAAGCTCACTTGAACATTGGATAAACAATTCTCATTAGAACTTCATGTTATCAGAATTTAGAGCATAATTTAGATATAACATGTGTGCGCGAGTCATTTGCATGATATGTGAGAGTCGTTACTAAAAAGGTTACGTCGGCTGCCGGCAGCGCTTTACTAGTAACTTGTCGGTAAAATTTTTTTTGAATTGACAGACTGTGGAGATGTGCACAAAGTGTTAATACATGTTAAAAGAAGAACAGAAAAAATTAGCAGGTTCCAATCTTACAGGTCGCGAAGTTTGGCGCGTGGTCTTCATCCGCTTACTAGTTTACAAATGACTTAAATCGGTTGGATCATTTATTGTACTTCTGGGTATACACTTGAAGGCAGTGTCCGGGCAAAAACTCGATTTCTAGAAAATCCATTTACCGGGGGTTATCCGCAACGCTGAATCCAAAAATCCACATTAGAAGGCACGAAAACGGCGAAAACATAGTCTTCCAAAGCCGCACAATTTATATTGACAGTCCCCACCAAGGCAGAAACGAGAGTGCTGCGGGACCCTACATTTTAACAATGACCGCATGCGTACTTTGCCGCATAGCAGGATTTCGGACAGCTCGGAGGACCCCGCCCCAATGCGTAGTTTCCCCACTTTGAGGTCGTTTTCCTTGCTTTAGGTTAAGCGTTGTGATGTCGCATGTGCGCGATGTTGTGTCCGAGGGCGCCACTCTCGCACGGTACTGAAATCCCAAAACCCAAATCTTGCCCGGACACTGCCTTTAAAAACAATTTGATGCCTGAAATTATCAAGATCAAGCTCAAGTTTGATATTGCTTTTGCTGAGACTCTTCCTAAATATCAATGCAACGCAATTCACTTGCTGTCTTTGAAGCATTAGCAGAGCGGCAAAATTTGAACGCATTAGAAGAGGAGAGGCAAGGGCAGCGCAAAGGGTTTCTTTATGCAACGCCGCAGGCTGCGACGTGCACTGCCGCAGTGCAACGGAGATATGCTCATGGCATCGCGGCTTCGCGGTTTTTCCTTGTTCCTAAGCTGTGCGCGTACGTGCGTATTCGAAGAAAATTCCTTTAATGTTAACAAACTTCCTTCTCTTTTGCCTTGTCTCATCATAGATTCAATAGTTCTTCATTTAATTAAAATTGGGTGCGTTCTCGTCTTCATCAAGCTTGTTTCGCTTCACTGAGTTCCATTCAATGACTTCGAAGCGCTAGTCGTCTGTTATTACTCATGAGGGCACTATATTCGTGCAGATCAACTTGTTGTTCTACCCATAGCAGATTCTACATGTATTACAAATTATTGTTATGGATTCTGCGGAGAAACATCGATAAATCACGAAGCTGCGTTGGCATGGACACATCCTCGCTGCGACTGCAACGGCATTCGCCGCAGTCTGCGGTGTAGTATAAAGGAACCCAAAAACATGCAAGTGGTGTGCCCATAGGAAAGACACATGCTGGTTCACAAATAGTAGCTTCCCTGTCAGTTGGCTGTCTTTGTTACTTGGATTATTATGCTTTCTTGCTATAACGCTTTGTTCATTTGTAGTGAGATATATGTTGCAATATTCACAACTCTCCAACGGTATCAAAAGGAAAAATCACAAATGGCAGACAGTTACTTGAAAGCGAGTAGATATATTGGGTTGTTCCCCGTTATATCGCTTTCTTCAAAAACATTCTGCAGAAGGAAGAACTTTGAGGTTCTAGTAAAATTCAATGCACCTTTTTCTTCTCTTTCAGATATCCTATTTTCCAGAGTATGGGGCTCACTCAAGCATAAGGCGCGACTGCCGCGCGAATGTTGGAAAGCTGCGCCTAGGTTTGGTTAAGTTCGGCTATGCTTCAACGGTTTTCTTATCTGTACTTCACCTGGAATTGCCTGATAAATGGGCGCTTAAGAGTTCAAGATGTCAGTGCCAATTCAATATTTAAAAATGTTTAACGTTGCCTTGATGATAGATTCACATCTAAACGAACTCAACAACAGCTTTGGATGAGTTTCGAAGGTGATAACAAGGTGAATATTCAAGTGTATTCAAAAATTAAATTATTCAAGTATTCATCCTTGTTGTGCGAAATACGATGAGCTAAAGAAAAAGAAGACTGATTTTTCTAAACAAGTGTAATCAAAAGAGATTAACAAAAGAATGCCCAAACTATCGCGAAAAGCTAGTATCGCTGCCTTCGCGGCGTCGTGAGTCTTTTCGCGCGCGATGCAAAAATGCGCCTTATATCCGGGAAATAGGGCACACGTGTATGTTTTGATTGCGTTTCGTGCATATTTCGAATTTCATTTCTGTTAACGAGCTCAGGGCCCGGCATGAGTTCGTTTTTAAGCTTCTTGCAAACGAAGTCCCCTTGACTTCCGCGAAATTTCACGAAGTTCCGTTTGACTCACAGCCCTAAACGTAAGAAACCCTCGAACAAAAAAAAGTTGACTAAAAAAATGTCGCAATTTTTTGGCCGCAAAAACGATCCCTTCGTTTTTCGCCCCAAAAACCAAGTCCAGCCCTGCTTCCAGACCTTCTGTGCCGAACCCTGAACGAGCTCTTCAGAATTACACGTTTCTGTCATAATCAAGTTTTGTACCTTTTAAAGTCTTCATACGTGCTTCGCAAACGCATCCAACTTTAAAACTGATAGAAAAACCAGGCACCTTCTGGGAAGCGCCTTCTTTTCAGAACAACGAGTTAAAAGAAAAATTTTCAATTCTGTTCACTAATTGGATAAGTCTTAGTCTCCCGGACTACGAAAGGTTTTTTGTCACCGTTGTAAATATTCATTGGGATATATTCCAAAAACATGACTCTATAAGATGAAGGGCTTGATGTGGATACAACCGAATTTGCCTTGCAATTGAGCGTTCCGCCTCAACCATCCTATCAATATGCTACAACTCAGTCAGGGGCTTCTCAAAAAATAATTTTCGAACGAACGAATATTGTACGGAGGACCAGTTGTGACCAAGAAGCTTCATGTAGTAAAAAGATTTTGGTTTTTTGCTCTCTGCGAATAAATCTCTGGACTGATGTGTCTTCTTGGGAAGTACATGATTGAAATTATGTATCAAACTGAATTTACCCTCAATGAATTGATGACAAATACGAAATGCTAAGGTGATTAGAAATGCGCCAAAATCTCTGTTTTACAAATTCTCTTAAATGAGTTATTGCGAGTACTCTTTGCAGAGTGTAACTTATGATTAGCGTGATCCGCAAGCTCTTGACTAAGCCTTGCGAGGGTGTCATCTGTTGCTTTAGCAAAGATATTGAAGCCATTTCTATGAAATGCGTTCGTCACACCTCTGACATCGATATAAGCAATATCATAATATCATTATGCGCGCACACATTATGCCCCTCATGGTTGACCAACCGGGGACTTCATTTTGCCGTATAATAGGCGTGTTTGAATCGGAATGACCGTTCTTTCCCTTGTCGATTTGTTGTAGCATTACGCTAGGTAGACTGCAAGTTCGAATGCATTTTCCCCTTGTTAATTTGCTAATCGGAACTTCCAATTCTCTTAAAGTAAACATTTAGAGTGCTCTATGGAAGTACTCCAATGATTGTATGCACTATATACCGTATTTAAAAACACTTTCTTCCCAAAAATCCGCCTCTAATTTACTTGTGCCTGTACACTTATTGCAGTATTGGTCGTGGCTGGTTACGAATCTTTCCTGTTTTGCAAGCTTTACCTAATATAGAACTTTGCAAAATCGTGCAAGTTATCAAGTTATCCGGAATGTCCGTTCCATACGCGTTCGCGGCGGGGTAGGTACAGAAATGTTAGAGACGTATCGTTCGATAAGAAAAAGCAAGCTCTACAAGATGGTGAACAACGCAAAAAATTTGATCCACGAGTTTGTATAGCGAATTCGAAAAAACCTTCAACTGCCTAAAAATAAGACCAAAAGTTCAAAAAGATCATGCAAACCTCAAACCTCATGCATATACTATTCACATTAGACAATCATATGTACAGGTGATGGGATTTTCACGGTCAATAGTTAAGAAAATAAAAATTGGCATGCTTTGGCAAGTGCAATACTGATATCTTACATGGGTAATCTACACTACAAAGCTTTAGAGATGCAGTCAGAGATTTCCACCCTTGTGCAAGCGTTAGTTATCAACTATACCCTAATTTTACGCTACAGGACGCGGGGATTTTTTTTTCCAAAATCAAACAGCACAGACACATCGAATGACTTTGCTACCAAAAAACTATATACGGTGCTTATATTGCCTAAGAATATCGTGCGGCATAAGTCTCGTTTTCCGAAACACAACGAGGCGGCTGAGCGGCAAGGTTGAAAAACCGAAAAAAGTGCGTCTTATAGCGTGAATTTTAGGGTAGTATAATAAACCCAAAAAGCGGACATTCCTGTATTTGTTATTCATTCTTATTCTTCAAATTTTAGCCATGGAAAATGCAGTAAGTGCACATATGAATGTTTGATGTGGGGAGTGTATGCTTGACCAAGACGGAGGTTCGCAGATTCTTTGGACAGAGTGTTTTGGGTATCTGATTTTTTTTTTCAGATTATGCTTATAAACTTTAAGGATCAAAACTTTTGCAATGTGCAAATGCTAACTCGTAAGGGTGGCTTTCCACTATCAAATGATAGTTTCCTACAGTTTTATGTCTACCATGCCGCGATCGCCTAAGAAAGCTAATTGTCTGGATTTAGTAATTAAACCCAATAACTGAAGCAGGAAATGCGAGTTTCGGTAAGTGCAGATTACTTTAAAAGTTTTAGATTTCGGTATATAGCACCTATGATTATCCGAGCAACATCATCTTCTACGGCACACTATCGTAACTCCCATACCATTAGTCGTACGACGTGATTATTGCGCTAATTACCTGCTCCAAAGGGCAAAATTCACTACAATAACACCTGATTTCTTTACATTTTCTAGGTAGTTTGATATCACGTTCTCGCTTTATGTTTTCAATCATGTTTACGAATGCTACGCATTGTTTGATCATGGAAAACAAAATGTTTTCCATTCGTCCACTCAGACGATTCACCGGAACTTCGCAGGACAAGCAAAATTTGCAGCGATTCCGCAGGATTTTGTTTATTATAGCAAGAGTGGAAATGCTGAAGATGGAAACTTCCGCAGAATTTTCACGTCAGACTGCTTGAAAACGGGAACTGCCACAGGGCTTTTTACACACTGCGGAACTTCCGAAAAATGCCGCGGGTCGCAGCACTTTGACATGCCAGTACTTTCGCAGATTTTTGAATGTGTTGTCTCTTACGATTCTCCTCGCCAACAACCAGAGTGCATTTTCGATGTTGTCGGTGTTCTCTTTTGCTGTTGTGTTTTTCATATTCTTCGGAACTTCCGCAGCAGCTTTACGGAACTTCCGCAGGTGCTCCGGCGGAACATCCCCAAACATTCTGTGGAAGTCCCAGTTAGTTGTCTAAGCAGACTCCAACTCAGAACTGAAAACAAATGCTAAAAAAAGCGAATCGAAGCATTTATCAATCGATTTGTACTCGTACTTGAGAACAACAGTAAGAAAGGCACAACACACAAAACAACGAAACATATGCGTGCAGTATCTAGACGAAAGGCAAGATAGCGATTGATGAAGCGCAATTCAGCAACCAACAAAAACAGATCAACAAGGTTGTTGCACGCGATTACTCGCAACGTTAACAAACTAACAAATTGCAGTGTAATTAACGAGGAGATTGAGCTCACTGGCACGGAGGCAAGATATCCTTAGGCAAGCTAAGCGTAGGTATACAAAGACTAGAAACCAATATGTAAAACTCTGATGTCCTGAATAGCTCAAATAGTACCCGATGATATAACACAGATAAAAGACTAGATAATACCGAGATTCCGAAACTTTAGTCCAATGGTGGGAAATCAACTATCCGCCATTTTTCGATAACCTAAATAAAATTTTTGTGCGGTGCCTCGACCAAGCTTTACGCGAACATCCGAAGCCATGTATCTTTCGATGGCTTCCACATTCGAGCAAAACTTTTTGTATTTCCAGAAGATTAGTTTACAAACCTTATAAGAGGGATAGAGCCCTGATGCGCCGGTTCTCGAGTTTTGTCCTTTGGAGTATCCGTCCCAATGATTGCCAGCAACTTTTATGACATCGCCCACTCTCAGCTCAATTTCACCAGACTGCTCTGGTATGTAGTTCTCCACTGCGACGAGCTCATGAGCTGTAAATGTGAAGTGACTTCTTCCAAGCTTTGTGATGTGCAGCTCAGCTCTATCATCGTATGATAGCACTATTCATCATGTAGGAGGATGCGAAACTAACCATGCTGTCCTCCATAATAGTAGAGATCGTCTAATGAATGGAACTTCTCCCCAGCATCACCCTGCTGCACTTGCATCAACTCAAACCCCATTCGACAAACCTGATCAAAAGAATACTGGGCAGCGTCAAATGCATATATAGTAAGAATTTATTCCGTTTACCTGGCTAGAGAAGGTGCATACTAGGTAATCGCAGAGGCTGAGCAGTCGAATATCTCTTACAACTCCAAACAAAGAGCTGTCTGTGTAGCGACTTTCCAGCTGAGCAGTGTTGGCTATTTGTTCGTCTCCCAGTACTTCGTAATTGGTGTACCTAAAATCTTCTCATTAGCTCAGTTGAAGCGAAGAGGATATATTTTTGGTTTTCATCCGCTAAATCATGATAAAAGTATGACAATAGGTTTGCTCACTTTTTCTTAAGTTCAGGGATAACCGTCGGATCATCAGTGGCAACGAAAACTCGACGACTGATCCGTGTTCCTCGTTGTTTATCTTGTATCTGGAAATAAATTGAATTTTGCGACTACATTTTCCAGGCTGTTTCCATGATTCCTCCATAAAACTATAAGTTTTCACTCACCCTGAACCATATCTCTGTCCATTGCATGTACTCCTCCACAGAATGGAAAGACGCTTCTGTCCCCACTTTGTCGGTGCGCCGGATTTGGAGTCCAACAATTGGACCTAAACCAATCCTAAGATTATAGAAAATGCTATCGTTTGATCCCTTTCATGTGCCTCCTCCCGCTCTCTATATCCTTCTTCCTCCTTGAAACTGTATCTATACAAGTTGATACGCTACATTACAATTTCCCGAGATGATTATAAGCGGCTGCACGATCACCTAGAAAACTTTGACTTTCGTCACAATGACTTTTAACTGATTTTTCAGTTAGAAAAGTGAGAAGATTAAGTTCTAGCTGGAGCGCATACAGCCCATGTGTGAAATAAGCTCCTTCAATGAAAAAGCCTCTACAATAATCATATTGCTCTGTTTTTACAAAGCAATTTCATTTTGCTTCGCAACCTTGCGAAAAGCAAGATTTATGCTCAAAAAAGCCACGCTTCTTTTTCGTCTCTATACTTTTGCCAAAAAAATTTGGATACATTCTGTTGCGAGCTTGAGGAGGATATCCATGCGGAAAAGATCAAAAAGCGAAGGACATGATCTAAGAAGTGAAAGCCCTATGGTTTTATCAGTGACTTCATCTCATCTGCCAAAGAGAAGCTCTAGCATGTAGGTGCGCTCAAAGGCACCGTCTATCCAGATTCTCGACTTCCAGTTTTTTGGCGTTTCATGGCCTTCTCATGTCCCTGATTCCGAATATGAAGGCGAGAATCCGCAAAAACCCCGACAATCACCGCTCCGAGAACCCAGAGGCCGGCTTTCTGGAAACGTGATTGGATGGGGCGCACGGATGGGCGGGCATGGATGGGGGAAGGCGGTGCCTTCTGAGGGACCTCGTGCATCTTCGTTATTCCGAAGCGATCTTCTCGCTTCCGAAGCAACATTTTGCGCCGCAACTTGGGCATTGGCTTGATAGGGGGGCCTACTATCATAGCTGCCAGAAGCTCAAGACCCTTAACTTAGGGTGGACGGGCCTTTGAGTAGGCTGTCATCGTGGAGAAAAGAAGACTTACAGCTACAGTACCTTATTGTAGGAAATGCAACCTACCTTTTTTATAATCAATCGCTGAGATCTGTTCATTCAATGCTCTTTGGAATTGCTCTCCATTTCGCATGAGGTACCAAATAAACTGAAAAGACAGTTCTGTCCATGTTAAATATACTCCGCTAGTGTTACTACTCTTACCTGACTAATAAAGAAAACCGGAGGGTTCGAATGCAGCTTTAGAAGCTCGTCAGCTAGTGGTTTCGGTATGGAGAGAGGCAGGAACGGAGGTCTCAGGCTAAACACACAAGTGAGAAAAAGCAATATTTTGCATAAATTCTTACTTATTAGCTAGCCCGTCTACTATTCCCAACTGAACCACTCGAGCGTCAGAGGTAAGAGAATATGAGGCAGGTGTATCTTGCTGAAAGAGATGATTCAATTTTTTGTGTTTATAGTGAAAATAGTTTTATATTTTCTAGTACATTTGAAGGATAAATCACCAATGAAAAAGATTTTCAGATTTTCAGGAGGACGAACAGTTTTGCCATCTGTCAGTGATGCATCGTGAATAAACCAAATATTTTCGAGGATGCTTTATATGATTCGCACTCAATTATTTTCGAAAACTTCAAGGAACAGCTACCCTACGCCTATGCACAGAAGTAGGTTGAGTGATTGAAACTTTTTGCAATCATAGCGCCTTCTTTGCATACAATTATTTGATAAGTAGCTAAACTCTTACCCCAACGACGTCATCGTATTTGCAACTAGTCACAGGCAGGAAAGCGCCGGCCCAGCCCTTCTTTGAGTACCTGTAAGATGAATAAGGTAATAGAGTAGGATAAGCGAAATTATTATGAACCTATGTTGTCATATGCCCGTGTTTGAGAATATTTACTGAATTGATTGAGCAATGAGAGAGAATGAGGAAAAAACATGTGTAGAATGGTGAACTCTGCGTACAAAGAAACCTATCTTCAATATTATACTGCCTTTCGCATGATGCAATTTTTTTGTTCCTCATACTGAATCCCTCTTTTATTGTTCTCTCTTCAGCAAAGAAGACAAAGATTACAGTAAAACTAAGTCAAAGCCAAGAGCTCAAGCCAAAGAATAATTAAAAATCAAGGAAGACGCCAAGAAGAAGAAGGAAGAAAAGCCTGAGGAAAAGTTTAAGCCGAAATAAGAGCAGAATTCAAAAAATGAAATCAAGTTGTTCGATTTTGTTGATTCCTAAGCCCATCTTCAAGAACAAAACAGAAATTAGCAGGAATTAGCAGGCAAGGAACAAAATATAATAATACTCAAATCTTATATATTGAACGTTCAGTTGAGTGCCTACCCGAATTGCTTTGGGAGCTGATGTAGGAGTGGTTTGAATTTGCATTTTAGACCTCGTATAATGGATCCTAGTCAACTTAAGAAACGAATTTTTTTTTAGTATTCGAATATCGATTAATATTCGAAAATCGAAATTCGCGAATATTCGACTGTTGAATATTATTCGAAAATTGAAAGTTTCGAATATTCGACAAACGAATATTATCCCAGAGTCGAAAATTGCGAATATTCTTCCACTATCAAGTATCGAAATCTCAGATTTTCGAATATTCGAATTTTCGAATCATTCGCATTCTTATTCGAGTAATCGAATAATCATTCGACTTGGTCTGAAGTATGCTAGTCATCTCTATGTCTGCATATATATAAAGCAGAAAATCTGTATGTCTGTGCACATTTCCCATAGTGATGAAGGATAAGCGGTGAAGCTATTTTGATCTGTCACTCATCAAGATATGGTAAGGACGTAGGAAGCGAATCCAGGACGGAATGGAAGTAAAAGAAGTGTAAGTTCCGCTACATGAGAGGTCAAGCACGATAAGTTGGCTCCAAACAGGGGTGGGACCCGGAATGCCACCTCGTTCTCTTACATTATAGAAAATGTGGTACTGATGATGGCTGCTTGACAGCAACCTGTTGGCCATTGGTTGCAATCTTTACAAATACAGGTTTAGTTTTGATTGGGTTGAAAACACTTACCTCCATGATGAGCCATCCCGATTGAGCACTAACATCCTTCCTGAGCCGAAAGCTGTCAGAAAGCAGTAGGCAACATGATGGAGTTGACAACCAAAGCCGCACTCTTTGTCAAGATTACAAACAAGTGCTCTGCAAATTGCATTTTGACTTTTCTCATTTTTCATAAGAAAATTGTATGAACTCACTTCGCTGTCCGACAGTCTTCTGGATTCTGCATGCGACGAATCTTTTCTTGTATAGTGTCTGTCACGGCTTGCAGAGACTTTTTTCGCCAAGCGCTCGCTCCTTCTATTTCTGAGAAGTTCGCGGCAGTAGCAAGGAGAGAGATGAGCTGCTCCTCGGTATGGTTTGCTACCGAGGTATGCGAGATAGGCAGTTCTTGCAGCTTTTTGCGCATATAATAGAATACCTGAAAGTAACAGTTCTGACTCAAAATCAGAATGATGGCTTATCAAAGTCATGAAAATATAACCCCGTATATGTGCTTACCTCCCATATTCGGTTTTCCAAGTGTCGCCGAGACACTTCATGTTGTTTGCTGTAAAGCTCCGATTCCTTGGTTTTGTCATCTTGTATAACGTTTTGAGCAGGAGTCTTCGCGACTGTCTTCACATCCTCAGTGATTTGCTGCCTTAAACAAATCATCAATATGGACAGTAAAATCTATCAGTTCCCATATTTACGCCCTTAGCGATTTTATTGTTTTAATTGGGAAAGAATACAAATCAGGGAACTTGTGAGACGACGCAAATAACAACATGAACGCAGCTGGATATGAAGGATCTAACATTTATATATTATATATTTGCTATTTGTTGTTATTTACTTCCTCTTCTACTCCACTACAGCGCCTAGGTTCACTTTCAATGGCACCAAAAAAGGATTCAGAAAAAACAACTTTCTTATAATTTCCGTTAACGATATGCAACAAAGGGACGCGTTTTTATGCTGGATATGTACTGCAGTGACGGAAAACTAGCATTTCAAATCTATTTTTGAAATGAATGGCGCAGTAATTATAATTGCTTGTGGTTAAGAGATAATCCTCTATAGCCAGCTCCAATCTATCGTCATAATGACATTCTAAGCTGCAGTCTGCCGAAGGGGCAATATTGCCACCGAAGATTGCGGCTAGTATAAGAAGTAAAGTAGCAAATGTTCAATGGATTGAAGTCTACCGGAATGAAGAACATTAAACTGATCATTTTAACTCTACATTAATTAGTGACAAACTCAGAGGCTTCTTGTGACAAACAAAGTTATACGTGAAATTTGACGTAAAATTGATCATACTTGGCCATCCTGACCAGGTTGCGATCCAGCTCGGCTCGTTCTTTCCTCTCTGCTTTGATCAGCTCACGAAGGTTTTCATACTGCTGCCTAAGCTGCCGAAGATCTTGCAGGGCTTCCTCCAACTGTCCGCTAACTGCTGCATCTTCGTATCGTGCTAGAACTCAAAATATTCTCTCGATAAGATTTCTGTAAAAATCGAGCAAACAAAAATGGAGCAAAATTACCTTTTCCTTGCAGGCTGAATAGTTGAGCTGATAGGTAAAACAGCATGAAAACCCATAGCGTAACTGCTGCTATTGCCGCACTTCGGACGGAGAACATGCGGCTCCAGCCTGAAACGAAGTGAAGTAGCTTTTCGTATCGCAGCTGTGCGTGTCGTGTCAGAAAGGGTCCAAAAAATGTGACAGTTGCACGAAAATGACTGATGTTCAGAAATGATTCACAAGACAATGCATTGTAAAGCTGTCATACCTATTTATAGACTGAGAAAATGTAAAAATTCGCTTGGAAAAGGAGGAAGATGAAGAATTTTTGCCGTAGTCGCCATAGTTTACAAACACACAACGCATGAGCATCAATTCGGGCGCTTTTGCTGCTTGGCAGCAGGCTGATCAACACGCCATTCGAACAGTTGCCATCGAAATTTGCAGTGATGAATTGTGGTGACAATTGTACAATTTTTCGCAAAATTCTGGCAAATTTGCAACCTCTCGGAAAAAAAGCGCGCACAAAATTAGAACGCAAAAACATTGCTAGTCGTACTGATAATTTCAGTTCAGGTGCACCAGAGTGTGTTTTTGAGATAAAAAAATGAAAATAGATTTTTGGCTACTGTTATGAATTCTTGTAAAATGACATTTACCGAAAACCCCAACATATGCAAATGCAAATTGGTTGTCATCCGCAAATTTGAAATTTCCATGCTTTTTATCAATCACAAACCATAATTTGTTGGAAAGGAAAGTCATCGAAACTGAGACAATGCTTATGTTCTTGCCATACGCTGATTCTAGGAAAAAGGTTTACATCGAAATTTTGAGCTTGAAAAAAGAGTGGACCTTAGACTAAAAAATTATAGTGCATCAAAATGGGCTCCTAAGGTTGCTGGAAGAAATTTTTTACGAGGATGGTCAAACCCTAAAGTTACTAAATATTTCTATTGATGTCTCCGAAACTTTAGAAAACACCCCGATAAACTATTGAGAAAGAACAATAACATGCACTGAACTCTTGAAGATTATCAATGTGGTGAAGCACCTTGTTTTTCTTTCATTTCGAATTTCTCTAACGATAGCAAAGTTTTTGGACAACAGTGGTGGAATTATCAGTTACTGCAGAATTGGTGATAAAGAGAAAATCGAACTTCTATTGTTCGCTTACCACATCGGCACAATCTGTTGTACTTACACAAATTCAAAAGATGACGAAAATGACGTACCCTGTTTAGCGCTGGTGGAATGTAAAAGTTTTGATTACTGCAGGAAGAGAAGACTCGTTTTTTTTACCAAAAGGAGTCTAGCCGAGCGAATTCCGTTTAGTGCAGGGTTTTTGCTTAGCTTTCTGCACCACATGTTCATTTTTATATGTGGACACTCACGAGCACTGCCGATGTAATAATGTGACGGACGGTGTCAAATAACACTTGCAATCCATCTTTGACAATGTGAAAATTGCATCATATTTTTGAAAAGAGACTATCGTTGTACGTTTCAGTTTCAATGGCCCATCAATGGACGTTTTGAAGCCCCATCGTTTACTATTCATTTTAGTTTCTCTTCCACCATTGAGCATGGATTGAGTTTCATTATATCCACTTCAATTTTTTTCGTAATTTCACACAATCCTTCGCTGTGAAAAAAAGTGAGAAGTTTTTGGTGGTTAAAAGTAAGTTAGAGCTAGAAGCTCAGACAGATTGGTAAACTCAAGTTCAATAAGTGAATTTTCAATTGGAATTTCAAGATTATTTTGATAGATGTTTTCCCAAGTAAAGTCAAGAGAAAGAAACGACCCACTTTTGACTACAGTATCCTCGCGCGATTGCACGGAAAACTAGTTTCAAGGTCGAACTGCAAGTTCGAGGCTGCTTAGCATTACAAGAAACGGTAGCGGGTGCATTTGTAGCGCTCTCACATGAAAATTTTAGCTTAAGGGCATTCCTTGGGATCAAGAAGATGACTTATTTGCAGTACAAATTGTCAAAGTCCTAAAGCTATTGTAAATAGCTGATAATATTATACAACTTTTACTTGATCTCATTGTATCATATTATACTTTAATGAGTTTCAGCTATTATATATTTATTTTCATTGTTTAGTATTGTGTTTCGATTGTTTTGATGTCAAACATTTCGATCTCGCTGTTTCTTCGAAACCTATTCAGGTACTGCTATTACAATAGAGTTAATCTTTTAAAAGCCCATCCTTGCTTAAACGACTTATTTTATTGAGTTGTTCACATATGGAGATGTATGGAGCTGCGCCCCTCTGGGAATAGTCTGCAGGATAGGGAACAAAGTAAAAAAGTGGGGCTGCAAGCTAGTCTTAGAGCTTTATCTTCAAATTTTCGAAAAGCATCTTTCACTTGGATTTTGAAACAGACGCTTGTGCAACCTCAGATTTGCAGAGTAGCTTTGATGATGGCAATTATTTGCAAAAGTCAAAGCAATATTACGAATCTCACATCACTTGGAAGTAAAAACGAAAGAACCCTTCAATGCTCTTTGGATACTTGGATATTCACATATGTAAGTATGGCACACTTCAATTTCAGTTTGAAGAAAAGTGACTTCTCCAAGAAAAATTAGGATATTGAACGATTGTCCTTCACACTAAAAGGACCAAAAGTCAAGAAATTCAGCGTAGGAGTGTTATGCAGAGAGGCACTGAGTTTTCATTATTTCCGAGATATGAACTCTTATATCTTTACCACTCTGAGTATTCTTGTCATCTGAAAAAAGCCCAAGTTACTTCGTGAAGGGATTCTTCTTTTCCTCAGTGAGTACTATTTTGCACAGTCAGTGAGTGATTCAAGCCGTATTCTTAAAAGTATATAGAAGCGCTGAGGTGATTCACAAGACACCAAAGGACGTGAAGTATGTATGAGCTCGCACAAAGCGTATCAAGTAACACTAGTACGAATGTTACTTTGCAATGATTAATTAAAGAAGTAATCCGAGCCATTTGAAAAAGATCAGTAACGGTCCGCAATTATTACACCTTTGTAGAAATAGTGTCTTCAAAAAGTTCTTCTAGCTGACAGTGAAATAATGCTCAAGTGCATGTTTCATACTATAAAGTATTTCTTGAAGTAGAGCGTGCAAATGATCAATCTTTATGCTTTTTATAAAAAATAGTAACAAAAGCGATATTATTCTGACTGATTATCCTGAAATGTTAGCTATCCCCATACGTATTTTCTGAAAAGAATTGTCTTTTTGCTACACTAACAAATTGAAAGGGCTGCTAGCAAACGATCAAGTTGAAAAACTGAGAAATTTTGGAGTTCAAGAGCTTTTTGTTCGTCCCTGTTTGACCAACACTAAAATAACGAAAGATATTTTCGATAGAAAAGTTAGCTAATGGCCCTCATTTTCTGGAGGAAGAAAGCAATTTATGCACAATCGTTCCGCAAAAAACGGCAAAGAAATTTTAATCGCCTTTGTTCAATAAGCTCTGGAAAAATATAATTAGAGATGTTTGGTAATGGCCCCCATTTTCTGGTGAAAGAAGGAAGCAGTTCAAGTACAATGGTTTTTGAACTACTTAGAGAAAATGCCAAGGGTTCATGAGCAACGGCACTTTCTTGATATTTGAATCCTCATCGAAAAAGAGAAGCATAGTCATAAGGTTGTACTCTTTCTTATCGCAGCCATCTGAGTACGACAACATGAATAATTGCATCGGCTGCTTTCGTTGATTAGACTCAGCTTTAGTCAGCGCGAGAGATGAGCCGAAGCTGTATGATCTCAAGGCTCGAACTTTGCTCGAATGAATGAATTATTAGAAGGGAGTGCGGCGAAGAAAACAATGTTTTAGAGCTATGTGAAGTACTATGAGAAGTTGAAAATCTACATCATTGGAGGAACGAACTAGGCACACCTCATAAATGGCTAGCACTGCTCAAAAATGATTGAAAAAGGGAAAAAGAAGAGAAAAATGAAAGTAGTGTTGTAGAAAGTCATGTATTTGAAAACACAGATTAACTGTCTTTCCACAGTTTTTTAAAGAAAAATAAAAATAGAATCATTGGATGGAACTCCGCCAAAGAGGTTTAGGAATCGGTTAACAGTTTTAATCATACAGTAAGCGATCACAAAATCTAACGATTGTTGGGTGTTCACAAGGTTTTCGTGCCTCGAGAGTAACCCAAGGATAACCGCGGAAATGAAAATTTCCTGAAAACGCGCAAGAAATGATGGACCAAGAGAAAAACACAAAGCATGTGAAGCTTTCCAGGAATTCTTGAATCAATCAACAGCAGCAGAAGAGCACAACGCGGTCTAAAAATAGGACGCAGAGTGAAACGGGACCCGATAAGCGGCAGCTCTGACGTGTGCTTGCGGCTGAAGTCATTATCAATAATGGCAAACGAGTGCTGGAGCGTTTGAGAAGATTTAACCAAGTCAACGATGGTGAGTAAATCCTGCTTGTTTCGGAACTTCCAAACTCCTTTAGCAGTACCTTAAGCGAGTTCGGGTAAAAAAAATGTCCGAGCAGGGAGCACGGCTTGGCCGGAGACTCGAGGCACGAAGCACGCAATCAATGTCCCATAGATAATGCACCAGAATGGGCGAATGTTCTGGGAAAAGCTGGGGCCGTGTGTTTCGATTTCGGGTCGGCACAAGCACTATTCTGAATTCACAATGTTCACTTCGTCAAAGCGCTCCCATCACTCACACAAAGAGCCTTTTCTCTGGCCTAGCAATTTGCATCGGATATTAAATGTCGGTAAAGCGCGTCGTTTGACAAAAAGTACTTCATTTCACTCCAAATTTGAAAAATTACAATTTCGAAATACATACCGGCTGCACGAACGGGGAGAAGCACTTATGGAACGTACTGCTCATTTCCTTTGATGATAGACTACCATAAGTCTTACAACAAAAAATTCAAAACCAGGAACGGAAAACGTCATTTGAGACAAGTTCTATAAAACTTTCATTCGCCATGTGATATCAAAACTGTTTTTTTTTGTTGGTGGCAGACAGATGAACGCAGATGGGATTTAGATGGATTTCAGATGGGTTTTGAGACGTACGCTTTCCTGCTCAAAACGGGCAGAATCAAATATTCTCAGATCCCGGATCAAGAATTATTAAGTTGTACCATCACTCAAACCGCAGGTTTTCAATACTTTCAGTCATTTCTAACCCAAACTTGTCGCTATCATTATATTTTGGAGATAGAAATATGCTTTCTTGTGCTATTCTAAGCAAAAAATTGCCGGCAAAGAGAAAAAAATTGATAGAAAGAGACTCTGTGCCAAAAGATGAGCGGCCCAATATAGCTTAGTTCCATGATTTTTATTCTTATGCCTTGCTCTACCTATTAGGTAAGAACCGTTGCACGATGGAACGTTTTTTGTGAATAGTCACGGAAACTTTTCTGAGTTCTCAATTTTTCCAAATGAAATTTCTATAATGAAAAAGTTCAGCTGAAAACTTTTAGAGCGAGAAACGAAATGTAAGCTGCAGTTTCGAGGCTTCTAAGCCTTTGAATCCTTCATCATAGCTCTGAAAAACTGAGATTGTATCAAATTCAGGGTTCTCAGCAGATCTCCTCCTCCCCTCAATATCGTACCGTATGCACTGCCTGATCACCAAAGCTTCATTATGCCCTTATAGTAGAGAACGACTTGCGTCATAAGTGCTTTCAGTTGGAAAAAGAAATTGAGATGCGCTAATATAAAAGAACGTTTCCTAATCAACATAACGGCGGAAATGTAGGTCCAGTACGCAAATTGCACGGTGGAAGTGCAGTGCTCATATGTGGGAAAAAGCTAGAAAAAGTGTCCTTTACGACAGACTTACGCTAGCAAGTAAGAGTCGAAACTATCTTTCTGCAAACGCTCCTAATCTAAAATGCAGAACTGCAAAAGAGAGCCTTGTGGGAATTTTTGAAGGCTTAGAGGGCACTGGGTGATTTCGAGATAAACTTTTCTTCATTTCAATTTGTCTCCATGACGACGTGAATGTTGTGCTTATCCGTCTCGAGAAAGGAGAACATGGAGCGAAGTGCAAGTTGAATGGTGTATTTTGCTTTTGATTAGCATTCTCACATATTCGTAAGTGCTTCAAAAGATAAATTGAAACATTCACGCGAAAAAGTTCAATGATTGCATACTGATTGTTGACAATTTCTGATTAGCTCGTAAACATCCTGCGATGCTTCGAAAAACAACGAGTCTATCATCATGGCTTTTTGTGAATATAAACGGCTACATATATTCCAACCTAACAATTACAAGGATTTTGAAATGAGGTTCTAGTTGGTATGAAATTCTGAGTTTTTCCTTGTAAAAATGATGGGAGTTGAAGATGTTTACGACGCCTGAGGACTTCAACACTTGATGACTCTTTGTCTTTTTATGGTTCTGACTAGGAACGCTGAATGCACAACTTACTGACAATTCATAACTCTATCATTTTCAAAGCT